TACAAACTGGTATTGCCTTACAGGCATTCATTATTACCTGTTCTTACCCAGTTACATACATTTCAATCTAATATAAAACCACTAAACAGCTAAACCCACTAATGACACAAGATAAATATTTGGATATTACTTTGGCAATTTCCAGTAATTAAGTGATAATGATTTGTTTCAATTCTATTACTGCCTTGTTTCAGCTTATTACCACACTGTTACCATGTTATTACCAAGTTGTAATGGAAATTAAGAGGACAACACGTTCTGGATCAGCTGGAGTTCTCTATCTTCTGATCGCTGCGTGGTTCGGGTGTTGGTTTAATTTCCACAGCTGGTTTTTGTTTTTATTCAGAGTCACGGAGATAATAAGTTAATGCACTTTGCCTGTTTCCCCCGTGGACTCGGTCTTTCTGATGTACCGTGTGTGTGTGTGTGTTAATAATTAAAGGATGCAGCTGCTGAAAACTCTGAAGAAGCTTTCTGCTTAAAGGACGAGCGAGAGAGTTGTGAGAGTTGAGTGAATGTGCTGCAGTTACAGGCAGTAAAGGTAGTTCTGCTCTCTGAGATCTGCTGAAGTATTCAGGATAAAATCTGATTTAATACAACCATGAATTTCTGATGTCTTGTCTGTATGCACAAATGCAAAAAGACCAGCAGGTTGGCTGGTGTTGGGATAGACCTCAAGAGGAGCTGCAAAGTTAAACCAACACAGAGCTACAGTGAGGTAATCCCAGCAGGAAGTCCAGCTCTGTCAAACTGATCCTTTAAATCCCTCCACCTGAAGCTTCAGTGTTCCCTTTGGGTTCATTAATATGTTGATTCATTCTGTCCTACTGTCAAACTGGATTATGTTCCTGCTATTTCTTTCAGCTCGTTGATGTTGATGATGACTCTGACCTCTTTGCCAGAGGTTTCCTTAGCGTCATGGATTCTTTTCATTTTACTCAGCATGTGTCTGGTCCCACACACACCAAAGGACACACACTGGACCTTGTTTTTACTTTAGGTTTAAACATTGATTTTATTTGTACTGAGGAAATTTTTATTTCGGATCATCATTGTATTCTTTTTAATCTGTCCTTTTATTTGTCCCTCTCTCCTATTCGACATGTGGTTAGCTCTCGCATCTTAACTTCCTCTACTGCTGTTAAATTTTCCGATGCTTTTAATTTAGTTTTATCTCCTTATAAAGATGTTCATTTTTTAACAAATCTTTTTAATAATCATTGTCTTTGTATTTTAGACAATGTTTGTCCTGTCAAAGCTAGACTAGCTCCGGTTTCAAAGTCATGTCCCTGGATAAATGACAGCATTCGCT